CTGGTTGAGGATAACCAATTGCTTCGCTTGCATTCTGGGCCTCAACATGAGGCGATGCATTGCCACTCAATACGTTTGCCATACGGCGCAAGCACACCAGGGGGCCCACGAAGAGGTGGGTCACCAGAAAACTGGTTGAGAAAAACAAATTGTTTCACCTGCATTTGGGCCTCGTCATGAGGCGACGCACTGCCACTCAAGATGTTTGCCATACGGCGCAAGCACACCAGGTGACCCACGAAGGGGTGGGTCACCAGAAAACTGGTTGAAAAAAACCAATTGGTTCATTTGCATTCCGGGCCTCAACATGAGACGAAACACTGCCATTCAATACGTATTCCATGCGGCGCAAGCACACCAGGTGACCCACGAAGGGGTGGGTCACCAGAAAACTGGTTGAGAAAAACAAGTTGTTTCTCTTGCATTCTTGGCCTCAACATGAGGCGAGGAAGTGCCACTCAATGCGTTTTCGATACGGCGCAAGCGCACCAGGTGACCCACGAAGGGGTGGGTCACCAGAAAACTGGTTGAGAAAAACCCATCGTTTCACTTGCATTCTGGGCCTCAACATGAGGCGACGCATTGCCACTCAGTGCGTTTTCCATACGGCGCAAGCACACAAGGTGACCCACGAAGGGGTGGGTCACCAGAAAACTGGTTGAGAAAAACCAAATATGTCACTCGCAGTCCGGGCCTCAACATGAGGCGAGGCATTGCCACCTAATACGTTTTCCATGCGGCGCAAGCACGCCAAGTGACCCACGAAGGGGTGGGTCACCAGAAAACTGGTTGAGAAAAGCCAGCTGTTTCACTTGCATTCTGAGCCTCAACATGAGACGAAGCACTGCCACTCAATGCGTTTCCCATGCGGCGCAAGCACACCAGGTGACCCACGAAGGGGTGGGTCAACAGGAAACTGGTTGAGAAAAACCAATTGTTTCACTTGCATTCTGGGCCTCAACATGAGGCGAGGCATTGCCACTCAATACGTTTGCCATACGGCGCAAGCGCACCAGGTGACCCACGAAGGGGTGGGTCACCAGCAACTGGTTGAGAAAACCCAACTGTTTCACTTGCATTCTGGGCATGAATATGAGGCGACGCGCTGCCACCTAATACGTTTTCCATACGTTCCATACTGCGCAAGCACACCAGGTGACCCACGAAGGGGTGGGTCACCAGAAAACTTGTTGAGAAAAACAAATTGTTTCACTTGCATTCTGGGCCGTAGCATGAGGCGACGCATTGCCACTCAATGCGTTTTCCATGCAGCGCAAACACACCAGGTGACCCACGAAGAGGTGGGTCACCAGAAAACTGGTTGAGAACAAACAATTGTTTCACTTGCACTCTGGGCCTCGTCATGAGGCGATGCGCTGCCACTCATCAATACGTTTGCCATACGGCGCAAGCGCACCAGGTGACCCACGAAGGGGTGGGTCACCAGAAAACTGGTTGAGAAAACGAATTGTTTCACCTGCATCCTGGGCGTCGTCATGTGGCGATGCGCTGCCACTCAATACGTTTTCCATGCGGCGCATGCACACCAGGTGACCCACGAAGGGGTGGGTCACCAGAAAACTGGTTGAGAAAAACCAATTGTTTCACTTGCATTTTAGGCCTCGTCATGAGGCGATGCGCTGCCATTCAATACGTCAGGTGACCCACGAAGGGGTGGGTCACCAGAAAACTGGTTGAGAAAAACCCATCGTTTTTCTTGCATTCTGGGCCTCAACATGAGGCGATGCATTGCCACTCATGCGTTTTCAATACGGCGAAACACACACCAGGTGACCCACGAAGGGGTGGGTCACCAGAAAACTGGTTAAGAAAAACCAATTGTTTCACTTGCATTCTGGGCCTCAACATGAGGCGATGCATTGCCACTCAATATTTTTGCCATACGGCGCAAGCGCACCAGGTGAACCACGAAGGGGTGGGTCACCAGAAAACTGGTTTGGAAAAACAAATTGTTTCACTTGCATTCTGGGCCTCAACATGAGGCGATGCATTGCCACTCAATGCGTTTTCCATGCGGCGCAAGCACACCAGGTGACCCACGAAGGGGTGGGTCACCAGAAACCTTGTTGGGAAAAAAAATTGTTTCACCTGCATCCTGGGCCTCGTCATGTGGCGATGCACTGCCACTCAATATATTTGCCATACGTCGCAAGCACACCAGGTGACCCACGAAGGGGTGGGTCACCAGAAAACTGGTTGAGAAAAAACAGTTGTTTCACTTGCTCTCTGGGCCTCAACATGAGGCGATGCATTGCCACTCAATACGTTTGCCATGCGGCGCAAGCACACCTGGTGACCCACGAAGGGGTGGGTCATCAGAAAACTGGTTGAGAGAAACCCATTGTTTCACTTGCATTCTGGGCCTCAACATGAGGCGGCGCGCTGCCTCTCAATGCGTTTTCGATACGGCGCAAGCACACCAGGTGACCCACGAAGGGGGGGGTCACCAGAAAACTGGTTGAGAAAAACAACTGTTTCACTTGCATTCTGGGCCTCAACATGAGGCGATACATTGCCACTCAATACGTTTTCCATACGGCGCCCTCCGAAGAATCCAAGATGACTGCCACCGAAACATGCGCGGACATGCGGCGCCGAACGGTGCCGGGCCATGTCCGAGACATGGCCCGGCACTTTCCGAGGAATCCAAGGTGGCAGTCATCTGGATTCCAGATACCAGATGGTGTCCAAAATGCGGCGCCGAGACATGCCCCTGGCGCCCTCCGAGGAATCCAAGATGACTGCCACCTGGCCCAAACAGGCCACCAAGGCCGCCAAGATTGCCCAAGACCGATTCAAGACGGCCCAAGACGCAAGACGACCTAAGATGGCCTCGAGACGGCCCAAGCGGCTTCCCAAAACGGCCCGACACGGCTCCAAGAGGGCGTCCAGGGAGGAATCCTCCAGGACGGGGCTCCAGAAACCAGTAGAATCCATCAGAATCCGTCAGGGCCCCTAAGATTCCTGGGGGGCCCTGGGCAAATCCAGGGGGTATGCTTCCAATAATTTGGGGGTGCTGCCGCAATTTGAAATTATTATTATTATTCTGGGCGCCTGCGGCGGAGTTTGGAGGGATGGAGGGTCGGATTTTAATTTGAAAAAGATTCCCAAGAATATTTGCGAAACAAATTCGCAAGGACCCCGGTGCATGTACGCGAGCGCCCCGTCATTATTACCCCCCTCAGCCGTTCCCCAGAAAGAAAGGTGAAGGTTTTTTTTTTTTTGAGTCGCGGGCCCGCTCGGCTGGTCGGGAAGCGCCGCCGGGCTCGAGTGGCAGATTCATCGTTTTTTTTCACGTTCCATATCATCATAGTAGTCCAGGTATTTCTTCTGGACGTCCATATCGCCCAGGCAATGGTGTCTGGAATTTCCATGGCGTTGTATTCTTTCTCCATCGCGAACTGGTTGGGCTGTTGTTGTTGCGGGGCCATGACCGACAAGAAGAAGGGGGGGATTTACACCCATGCCGTGAAGCCGCTGACGCCCCAGACTGCGCGTTCGGACATATTGTTCTATTGCAGCGCTGTGCATTGTAATCTCTTCAATGAAATCATGAACTCGCCTTCTTTGCGAGACGAGTTTTGGGACCTCCTTCACTCTTTGTACACCGCGCCTCAGAGCGTGCAAGCCGTGGAAACTCACCCGATTGAGGGCGTGGACTGGAGCTATTGGGAGCGCCGCCTACGAGACAGCAGAGCCTCCAATCGCTCGTCGGCGGCAGCAACAGCTCCGGGGACATCAGCCGCCAACGCGCCAGCAGCTTCGGGGGCATCGGCCTCCAGCGCGCCAGCAGCTGCTTCGGGGACATCGGCCGCCAGCGCACCAACAGCTTCGGGAAGAACATCAGCCGCCGGCGCAGCGGGAACATCGGCCGCCAGCGCACCAACAGCTTCGGGAAGAACATCAGCCGCCAGCACAGCGGGACCATCAGCCGCCAGCAGCGCACCATCAGCTTCGGGAGCATCAGCCGCCGGCACAGCGGGAACATCAGCAGCCAGCGCGCCATCAGCTTCGGAAGCATCAGCGGGGTCACTGGCCTACAACGCAGCTGCAGCATCACGGCCAGCGGTGCCATCAGACTGCAACACAGCAGCAGCGGCATCATCATCACCAGCAGAGGGGCCGCCAGCAGCGGGATCATCATCACCAGCGGGGCCAGCAGCGGGATCATCATCACCAGGGTCGTCGTCAGCGGCAGCGGCAACGCACTGCCGCTGCTACGGCGTCGTGAACCTGACCCACGAGAGCCCTGTCAAGCGCAGCAAGAAGGTGCAGGGCGTTGTTCGGTCGGCCGCGAAGGCGCGGGGTGACATGGTAAACAGTGCTGGGCGGTAGTAGTAGTTGGCGGAGGCGGAGGAGGAAGAGGGGAAGGAGGAGGGCGGGATCATCATCACCAGGGTCGTCGTCAGCGGCAGCAGCAACACACTGCCGCTGCTACGGCGTCGTGAACCTGACCCACGAGAGCCCTATCAAGCGCAGCAAGACGGTGCAGGGCGTTGTTCGGTCGGCCGCGAAGGCGCGGGGTGACATGGTAAACAGTGCTGGGCGGTAGTAGTAGTTGGCGGAGGCGGAGGAGGAAGAGGAAAAGGAGGAGGATGAGGGGGGGGGAGAAGAGGAGGAGGGGGAGGTGGCGGAGGAGAAGGATGAGGAGGAGGGCGGGCGGGAGAGGATGAGGCGGAGGAAACGAGGAAAAGAACGAGGTCAAACAACGACGTGGCTCTTCTTCTTCCCCCCCGGCCGATGCCCCCACCTCCGAAAAACAGATCCGCTGGACCCTGAACGCAAAATTTGGGTTCAGGGGGGTGGGTGAGTCTCCTCACCCACCCCCCTGAACCCAAATTTTGAGCATTAATTTATCTTTTGTTTAGGATGTCTGGGGCTGGATGTAGGAAACGAGCCAATTGTGCCCTGGAGATGGCGGGGGTGGCCATTGTGCCCCCGCCGTGTCCAGGGCACAATTGGCTCGCCCCGACCTTCAGCCTAAGAATCTATGTTGGCGCGGGGGGCGGGGGGCCCTCCGCTCAGACCGCTGGGCGCCGACATTTTTTCCTCGGAGGGCCCCCCCGCCCCCCTCGTTTTCTTTCCCCCCCCTCCCAAGAAGGCGACCGTGGTGGACAAGAAGAATAACAAGACGGAGGAGAAGAAGGGGGCGGAGAAGGAGGCGGAGGCGGAGGACGACACGCTGGCTGATTTTGAGGAGTCCCTGAGGCGCCTCCCCTTCCTTCTCCCTCCTCCTCCTCCTCCGCCTCCTCCTCTTCCTCCTCCTCTTCCTCTTCCTCCTCCTCCTCCTCCTCCTTCTCCTCCTCCCTCTCCTCCTCCTTCTCCTCCTCCTCCTCCTCCTCCCCCTCCTCCTCCTCCCCCTCCCCGGAGGTTCTGAGCAGCCGCCCGACGCCGCGCCCGCCGCCGACGCCACGCCCGGCCGCCGACCGACGCCGCCACTTCTTCAGCCATCCCAAGATTTGTTTTTTTTTGTCCCCGCCGCGGCCCCGGCGGGGCCCTTATGTTTTTAAGTTATTCGGGGGGCTGTTGTTTTTTCGCCATCGCCGAGGGGCCGAAAAAGTCGACGAATAAACGGGGGCTTGAAACAGAAAAAAAACAAATTTTGGGATGTCTTCGTCTTGTTGCCTCCCCTCGCGGGCCAACCGGCCGGCCGGCCGGCGTCGGACTACTACTACTACTACTACTACTACTACTACTACTACTGCTACTACTACTACTTTTACTACTTTTACTACTACTACTACTACTACTACTACTACTACGGTTACTACTACTACTACGGTTACTACTACTACTACTACGACTACTACTACTACTACTACTACTACTACTACTACTGCTACTACTACTACTTTTACTACTTTTACTACTACTACTACTACTACTACTACTACTACGGTTACTACTACTACTACGGTTACTACTACTACTACTACGACTACTACTACTACTAGGATGAGGATGATGATGATAATGAGAATGGTGATGATCCTGATGTTGATGATGATGAGGATGCTGATGTTGATGATGATGGTGACGGTTAATAGCAATGACGATGATGATGATGGTGATGATGATGATGTCGATGGTGCGGGTTATGATGATGATGTGATGATGACGATGTTAATGATGCTGATGATGATGATGATGCTGTTGGTGATTAGGGTTGTTCTTATGATGTTACTGTTCATGCGAATAATAACGATGATAGTAGTAGTCGTCTGTAATGACGATAGCCCTGAATGCGGGGCGGCGGCGGGCTCAATCTTTCAATTCCGACAAAGCGCGGGGCAGTAAAGAAGGGGTTTCAGAGCCCCGAATCATCAGGGGTAACTCGGGTCAGGGATAACTCGGGTTCGTGTTTCGGGAATCCAAACCCGAGTTACCCCGGGCCCGAGTTACCCCGGATAGTTCGGGCGTCCAGAGCCCCAAAATCATCAGGGGTAACTCGGGTCAGGGCTAACTCGGGTTTCTTTTTTCGGGAATCCAAACCCGAGTTACCCCGGACCCGAGTTGCCCCGGATAACTCGGGCGCCCAATCAGGGGGCGATTTGTCCATCAGTTTTCGATTCTTGAGGGGCACGTTTGGGCCCTGCTTTCGTTTCCCCCCTGAATTCCGCCTGCAGGGGGACGGGCTCGACCAACGAAGAGGGGGTCTGGTGGCGACCCCGCCGCTGGCGTTCAACGTTGAATTCGAGCAGGGCATCGACTACAGAATGGATCTACCCCAAAGTCAATTTTCCAAGCGAGTCTGCGAAAAGTGCGAAGATTGTTCCGTAGATCTACAAGCACTCTGCGCATATTCCTTATATTCGACGAGAAAGAAAACAATTATGGGGTTCATCAATTCTGCAGTCGATCCCCTACTCGATGAATGCCGCCGGCGACCCAGAAACTGTCCATCGTTGAACTATCTTGCGTTTCTGAAGCGGCTGATCGTTCCTCGAGCGATCTCCGCGGTGTGAGAAACCAACGTTGGGGTCGACGCGACGCGAGCCCGCCGTAGATGGTCGGAGGATCGCGCCGCATCGCCGATGCATCGCCGATGCGGCTCGATGTGCAGCCCGATTTGCTTCACGTCGATGTCGCCGATGCATCGCCGACGTCGACGATGCAGCGCCAGCCCATCGCCGGTGCATCGCCGATGCATCGCCGATGTATCGACGATGCGGCGCGCTCCTCCGACCCCACCTACCTGGACCCCATCAAGGAGGCGTCCTACACCTGGGACTCCCAGACGGGGTACGGTAGGGGCGTACCGAGGTATAAGATCGAGGTCGGCTCGGGGATGGTACCCTAATGTTGTTCGTGTGTGTTGGATGTTCTTGTGCATCCTGGGGAAGGGCACTCTCGAATGTTTCTCGTTTTGGGCCAGCGGAGGGTCTCGCGTTCTTGAGGGATATTCTTCTGTCCTAGGTCCGAATGTACGGTGAGGGCGTTCGTTAAGGAATGTGTTCAGGCGGCTTCAGACCCTGGTGGATTCTTAATCGGACGAGGGCGGCGGTGATACCCATGGCCTTAGTGGTTCTTAAAAACAACCAGGGCGTTTTTTATAGTTTGCAGTTTTCCCGTCTTGTCTGTCGACAGCGTGGACCTCAAAACCATAAAAAACGGGGCCACGAGACTATAAAAAAACGTTTCGCGGCGAACAGCTGCAAACTAATAAAAAGCGATTGGGCTCGAGCTGAAAACGTCTTGAAAACGGACCCCTGCAAACTATAAACAAACGAATGCTTATGTGTGCAGATCGTATATATGTAGCCAGTAAGATTTGTGAGGAAGGGTGCAAAAGGCAGCAGCACGCAGCAGCAAGCATCAACAGAGGAAGAGGATTGGAGAAACAAGAATAGGAAGAGCAACGCCGGATGCTCGGAAATCTCCGGCCTCCCGGAGGGGAGTTGAAAACGTGTTGAAAACGTATTGCAAACGTATTGAAAGCGGTCCCAAACGAGCAATCTCGATTGCTTGCCCGGGGGGGATATGTTGAAGATGTTATAAGTCCTCTCACGCAGGTGAGGGGAAGAGTCTTTGCCCCGCCCGTGCTTCGGCAATTCTTCCTGCCGGCTCCTACTTACGTGCTTGTGCGTGCGATTAGACGCCGATGCAACCACCGCGATGCGAGACAGATTCGAAAACGATGAAAAAACGAACGTAGCAAACTATTAAAAAACGGCTCCGCAAGTTGACGTCGAAAACTATGAAAAACGGTGTGTGGCGGACACCTCTAAACGACAAAAAAACGGGAGTGCAAAACTATGAAAAAACTAAATTTGAAGCGACAGTTGAAAACTATTAAAAAAAATCGCCCGGGTCGTTTTTAAGAACCACTAAGCCCATGGCCAAGCCAAACTCTGGATTCCGGATCCACTGGTTCCTTATGCAATACCTTCGCCGTAGGTTCGAGTCCTGTCGACGGGTGGCGACCCCGCCGTCGGCGTTCAACGTTGAATGCCGCCGGCGACCCAGACTCGGTCAATGGTTGAACGATCCGGCGTTTCTGAAACGGCTAATCGTTCCTTGAAAGATCCCCGTGGTGTGAGAGGAATCAACGCTGGGATCGACACGACGCGAACCTGCCGCAGATTGGGTCGGTGGATCGCGTCGCCTTGTCGACGCATCGAAGATGCGGCTCGACGTGAAGCCCGATTTTCCGCCGACGTCGCCGATGCACCGCCGACGTCGCCGATGCATCGCCGACGCATCTGCGAATTTCTGCGACGCCCCTCCGATGCGTCGGCAATTCGGCACGATCCTTCGGCTTCCGCTGCCCGGACGCTGGTGTGGGAGGCCCCCGCTCCGGCCGGGCGTCGTGGGGGCGTGCAGATGGCCGCGCACCTCGCACGGCGGCTGTGCGGAGGTCGACGGCGAGCGAACCGGAACGCTCCGACCGGAGCGCTCGACCTCACCTCCACGAGGAGCGTCGTGAGGGCGTGCAGATGGCCGCGCACCTCGCACGGCGGCTGTGCGGAGGCCGACGGCGCGCGACCCGGAACGCTCCGACCGGAGCGCTCGACCTCACCTCCACGAGGGATGGGTCGGGCTGGGTGTCGGCCCGCGAGCTAGGGGCCCGCTTCGATCCGATCCATGCGATTCGACATCGGCTTCTCGGCCAGGCCGAGGCGCTTCGAGTCCGGTATATGCCCGCGATGCGATGCGGCCCGCCATGCTCGCATGGCGCGGCGTGCATCTTGGCCTGGCCGGTCCGATTCGGTGCCGACGCCGTGGCGCTGCGGCTCGATCCGACGCGCGTTCCGACCCGGTCCGGCGCCCCTGTTCGAGCCTGCTCCCGGGGGCCGCAGCGCGGCAGAAGCTCACCGCACCACCAGACCACCCCAACCCAACCCGAAGACTCAGATGTACTCTCGATTTCTAGTGGGGGGGGGGTCGGGAAAGATAGAAAAAACACGCGTGGAACCCTTACCCCCCCCAATCCGAAATTCGGGTCTTCGGGTTGGGCTGGGGTGGTCTGGCAGGTAGTCCGAAGCGCGCGCTGCGTGGCCTCCTAGTCAAGCGCGCCCCGGCGGCAGAGGAGGACGAGAAGTTCGCCACCAGGGTGCTGCGCGACGCGGAGGAGGCCGCCGCGAAGGACGGCAAGCCCGTGCGGGTCGTCTTCTGCACGCAGGAGCCCGCGCACTGGACGGCCGCCCTGAAGAAGCTCCGCGGCCCAGGGGCGAGGTGACGTCACGCCGTGGCTCGCCGGCGGAGTCCCCATCGCAGAAGAGCAAGCTGCACAGATTGATGGGTTCGTCTTCCATCACCACCACCATGATTAAGTTAGAGGGGGAAGGAGGTGCAGGACGAGGAGGAGGAGGACGACGAGGGGCAGGAGGAGGAGGAGGAGGAGGACCCCCTCCCCCTCCAACTTGTGGAGGTGGTGGAAAACAGGCCCAGCACACACCTCTTGCTGCCACGCGTGAGAGTGGCCTTTCGCCGAAGTGACCTCTGGCGCGGGCCCAGTGGTCTAGGCCTCTCCCAGATGGGGTCCGACTGAGTGGGGGCGGAGGATCGTGCCACATCGCCGATGCATCGGCGATGCGGCTCGGTGTGGATCCCGCTTTGCTCCACGTCGACGTCGCCAATGCACCGCCGACGTCGCGCCGAGGTATCGTCGATGCATCGCCGATGCAGCGCCGATGCATCGCCGATGCATCGCCGATGTATCGTCGATGCGGCGCGATCCACCGTTCCCATCTACTCGGACCCCATCTGGGAGGTCTCTGAATGGGCCCCCGATCGCAGGATGCGATGCGGCGGCGGTGGCTTGCGCGCCAAGGGCCCCCCCCCTAGTCCGCGCACCACTTGGCATTGCTCGGACGTGTGCATTTTTTTCTCGGCGACGACCATCGAGGAGGAGGAGCCACTTGGAGCCTCCTGCGAAACAAGACCCGCACGGAGCCGAACAACTACCCTGCAAGTGGACGTCCCAGCGCTGGGGGGACGAGAGGTCACTCTTGCCTGGGAGCCTGTTTTTTTTCAGACTCCGGCAAGTTTGCATGGACGGGGGGGGGGCTGAGCCTGAAGCAAGCCGCAAACGACTTGCACGTTCGGGGGGGCGCGGAAATCACGCAGGTCGAAAGGCACTTGCACGCTAGTATTCGCCTGAAGAGGGGCGAGGGGGGGGGGGGCGAACGCCATGCAAGTAAACTTGCCGGAATCCAGAAAAACGAGCTCTGGGGCCACGCCCGCATGCAGCAGCACATCGACCGCCGGAGGTCTGCGCGGAGGTTCCCCGGAGCGGCGCCGGACCGCGCGCGCCCGGGGGGGGGGGGCCGAGGCGCCGCCGCCATCTGGAGGCTCCGGCGGGGGCCTCGGAGGGGTGATGGCGGCTGTGGGGCCGTTGCTGCTTTTGCTGTCGGCAGGGTATGTACCGTCGGGGCGCTAGACAGGGAACCCTTCCCGTTGGGGAGGGGCTCCGTGCTCCTTGGTTGTTTCGCAGCTTGCCTCAGGTTGTCCTCAGGCGGGGCGCTACACAAGGAACCCTTCTCGTTGGGGAGGGGCTCCGTGCTCCTGGATTGTTTCGCAGCTTGCCTCAGGTTGTCCTCGAGCGGGGCGCTAAACAAGGAACCCTTCTCGTTCGGGAGGGGCTCCGTGCTCCTGAATTGTTTCGCAGCTTGCCTCAGGTTGTCCTCAGGTTTCCGAGGGGGACTCGAAGGCTAACTTGTGGGAAAAAGGGGCCTCGTTCCTTATTTCGGGTTCCTTGGGTCAACGCCCCGACTGTAGGGGGGCGGGGGGGTCAGGGGCAACGATAGAGCCTGTTTTTTGGGATTCAGGCAAGTTTACTTGCATGGCGTTCGCCCCCCCCCCCCCCCCCCCCCCCTCTTCAAGCGATACTAGCCGTGCAAGTGCCTTTTCGCCTTGCGTGATTTTCGCGACACCCCCGAACGTGCAAGTCGTTTGCGCTTGCTTCAGCTCAGCCCCCCCCCCCCGTCCATGCAAGTAAACTTGCCGGAGTCTGAAAAAAAACAGGCTCATACGAGGGGGGGGGAGGAGGCTCACGCGGGGAACGCGTCGACCCCCAAGCGCCCGCGGATCGCCGAGAGGGGCCGTCGGAGAGGCCCCGCCCGGCCCAGGAGGGTGTGTGGGTTCGCCGCCGGGGAGCTGCCGCCGACCTCTGGGCGGTGCGTTGCCGATTCCAGGTCGATGGTTTTCTCCCCCCTCGGCCAGTCCTTGGCATCGCTCGGACGTGTGCATTTGTCCTTCTTTTTTTTGTTCTTCGACGAGGACCATCGAGGAGCATCCTTGATCATTTGGCGAAAAATACCACACACGAAACCGCAAAAAAAACAGGGAATGGACGTCCGAGCGATGGCCAGTCCCCCCTGCTGTATGCCAGTCCCCCCCCACCCACAAAACAAACGATCGCCGCTTCGCAGGTGGGGGCCCCCAAGAGTGCCAGAGCAGGCGGCTGCAACAGCGGCGGACGGCCACGGGGGGTGCAAGCACACATGATCAAGAAACAAACAACACAATACGTACATCAGTTCTTGAAACAATTAAAATGCATCAGCCAATACTACAAACACATAATACATACATCACTGATTAAATGCATACGTACACAACAAACCAAACACAAACAATCACACATCAGCAAAAAGGTATCCAGGGGCTTCGATCGCCCATGTCCGCCCTTGGTGCTCTCCGCCCCCTTGTGCCTCCGCGGAGTCCCTAGGAATGCCAGAGGGCCATGCTGTTTTCACCATGCGAGCAGGGCGCCTCGCGGCCGAGGAGAGAAGAGCAGGAGGAGGAGGAGGAGGAGGACAAGGAGGACAAGGAAGAGAGGAGAAGCAGGAGGGTGGAGGAGCTGGAGGGAGGAGGAGGAACAGGAGGAAGGAGGAGGAGGAGGAGGAGGTGCACCGCACAAAACCAGTGAGGGGCCACACGTGCCCCCCGCAGCAGCGGGGAGAAGTGCCATGCACCTGGCTGGCCTGCCTCAAGGGGTCATTCAGGAGGGGAAAAAACACACAGAGACAATTAATCGTCGATTTCCAGAAAAGGATGGAAAATACGGACAATGGGGGGGAAAACGAAAATCCCCCCCCCCTATATATATATATGTATATATATAGATTGGAAACTATAGGGGAATCCTGTTATGTGTGTGTATTTATTTGTGTGTCCCAAGGCCCCTTCAGTCATGGGGTGTTGGGTTCCTCCGCCGTCCTCGGCATCGCTCGGGCGTGTGCGTTTCTGTTCTCGGCGAGGACCCTTGAGCCACGGGAGGAAAAACCACCCGGACCCGACACTTGGCGTTTACCAGACGGCCTCGGGCGTTTACTAAATTCGTCGAACGCGTTCCACGACTCGCAAAGTGCCGACTCGCGAACGTCCGAAAAAACAAGTCTTCCCCGATATAATGTATCGTAAATCCCCCGCAGCGGATACAGGCCATTTGCGAGTAGTTGATTTGCGAGTAGTAGAACGCGCTTGTCCATAAACAGCCCTGCCCTGTTCGATTCCGTCCACGGGCGTGCTTACCGAACGGCTTCGCGAGTTGTTGTGATTGTTATGGGGGGGTGGATTTGCTGCCCTTTATATTGAGGGGCATCCTGGGTCATTGTGCGCAAAAAAAAGACGCAAGAGACTACAAAGGCACGGGGAATATGCGTCCGAGCGGTGGCAGGCGCCTGACCCACGGGGGATGGGGGGGGAAAAAGGGGGAGAGGGGAGCAGGAGAGGCCGGGTGCGCTCGCGCCACATTTGTACCTATATTCCACCACCCTTCGGGTGACAGGAAGGCTGTGCCTCCTCCTCCTCCTCCTTCTCCTCCTCCTCTTCTCCTCCTCCTCCTCCTCCTCCTCCTCGTCCACCTCCTCCCCCTCCTCCTCCTCCTCCTCCTCCTCCTCCTCCTCCTCCTCCTCCTCGGGGGAGGTTCAACTTTCGGTGCGCGATTTGGGTCGGATCGGATTCGGCGGAAACCAGTTGGGCACCACAGAGCACAAGTACGAACATGCGGGGCAATCTGCTTGCCCATCTACTGCCCATCTACTATCTATCGGGGCATCCAACGGTAATCATCGGGGCAACCAGCGGAACTGGGTGGTTCTTACTTGCCCGCTCCCTCACGTGCGGTAGAAGACGTAGATCGCCTTAGTCTTGCGCGTGATGCCCAGGTCCATAAACGGCTCGCACAGCGTCACCACTGGGCTCGCACGCAGCCGCTCGAGGGTGTCGGCGTTTTAACACGGCACGATGCACGGGTTGCGTGGCGCGGGCCAGTCTGGCATCAGGCACTTCTGGTTGCTCCCCTTCTCGCGCGAGTGCTTTGTTTCCAGGTCCATCTGCGCGGACATGTCTTGCTGCACGGCTCTCGCAGGTGACTGGCCGTACTGGTCCACGCCTGGCTGCAAGCCGACGGCGGCCCCGTTTTGGCAGCAGTTCCACTGAGAATTCTGCCAGCCAGCACTGGCAGAACCTGGTGTTTTCCGTCGAAGGCGCCATGCGGTGCGCTTCGGGTCCAGCTCTACGACTTCCCCGGCGTGGAGAAACACCAAGTTGGTGATCGCCTTGCTGCGGCCCTCCTCCGTCTGGAGCCTCCCCCTCGAGCAGCTTGTCGCACACGTTGTCCGGAAGCACCGACAGCAGCGTCGAATACTGCGTCCGAAGGGCGTTAAAGGAGGCGGGGCCGCCGTCCTTCGGAACATTCTTCAGGCAGGTCACGGAAAGACCTGGCATGCACCTGCTGGATGAACTCTTGCGGAGCGGTGTCGGCTGGCGCAGTGCTGGCAGAGCTTGGCACCCCGACCCCTGGCCAGCCGCTCGCGCGGTCACAGGCATCTTCCACGTGTCAGGCGCAGGTTCTCGCCCACCCGTGCGCGCGACGACTTTGCCCATGGCGCGCATGCTTGATCCTCGCCGTGGCGCCGATGTCGGCGGGCATGTCCACGCCACCCGTGCGCGCGACGACTTTGCCCATGGCGCGCATGCTTGATCCTCGCCGTGGCGCCGATGTCGGCGGGCATGTCCACGGTGCGGCAGCGCACGCGCTCAGCCCCGCGGGCCTTCTCGACCCGAGCCGCGTCCCTCTCGTGGCCCTCGGGCATGCCCCGGCCACGGGTGACTCCCAGGAGCGCAGGGGGCGTCGGCCGGCCCTGCCGCAGAGTGCGCGGCGGACTCCTCCGCGTCACCTTTGAGCTCTGGGGCCAAGAACTCTGCGCTCACGGCAGCGGCGTTCTCGACGCCGCGCCCATCTTCGTCCTCGTCCCAGTCTCTGAGGTGGGTGTGTTCTCAAGCGCCAGGCCTGCTTCAGGTGGAGCTGTCGCCCATGCCTGGGCTTCATGCCCGATCCAAAGGCTGCAGAGAAATTGAGGGTGCAAGCTATACTATTCCCTGCCTGCTGCTACAGTCGGGGCGCTGAAGAAGGAACTCTTTTCGTTGGGTAGGGGCTCCGTGTCCCTTAATAGTTTCACAGTTTGCCCTGCGTTTGCCTTAGGTTTTCGAATGGAAAGCGAAGTTCAACTTCTGGAGAAATAGGGGCCTCGTTCCTTATTTAGGGTTCCTTAGGTCAGCGCCCCGACTGTACCCTCCCTCGGCGCTGCACTCCAGCCCGCCCACCTCTGGCGCCGGGGGGGGGCGCGGGCGCCCAGGGCAACGCCGCACGTGGCGACGCCCCTCGGCGCCGGGGGCACGTCGGGCCCTCCTCGGCCGGCAGCGGCGCCAGGCTGTCGACGCGGGGGGGGGCCCGCCGTCGCCGCCGGGCGGGCAGAGCCCGGCCCCGGTGACGCGTGCGCCTCGCTTAGAATTTTAAAAAGCGCCATCAACACGAACTCGTGGCGCTCCGCGCGGATTTTTCTTGCCTCCGGCGCCGCCCCTGGCGCGCTCCGCGCGCCTGGGAGGGGGTCCAGCGCGGATCCAAGAAATCCGCGCGGAGCGCCCAACGTGTATGTTTATGGCGCTTTTTCTTCTTCTCTCGCTCTGCTCCGGCCATCCGCATCTGGCGCCCGGGGCACGTGGAGCTTCCCGACCTACAGTCGGGCCGTTGAAGAAGAAGAAGAAGAAGAAGCCCGTTACGCTGAAGAGGGGTTCGGTGTTCCTGAATTGTTTTACAGGTTCTCTCGGGTTTTCCTCAGGTTCTCTGTGGGAGGTCGAAGTGGGACTCGTGGAAAAAAGATGGGCCTCGTTCCTTACGGCGGCGGCATTGGATAAGGAACGTCTTCCTGGGGCCCAGACCCTGGCGCACTCCTTATTGCTTCGAGGCGAGGTGGGTGGCCCACGCTTGGCCGCCCATCTATCGCGACACCCTGGGCTCCTCATCGAAGGCGTTCTTATCGAAGGTATTATTATATTTAGCGAAGGCGTTGTTATCGAAGACGTTCTTATCGAAGGTTCTAATACAAATTCTTATCTAAGACCTCCACCGCACTTAGGGCTCCCTCTGGCAGCGCGCTTCGGCTGTGCATCGGCGTCTCAGGCGACGCCCCTGGCGCCGGGGGCACGCTGGGCGGTGTGCTGGCCTGCGGCGGCACCCCCGGCGGGAGCAAACGCTGCAGAGCGAAGAACCACAAAAGAGGCGGACGTTGCAGAGGCACCATTCTGAGACACCGAAGACGTCCCAGACCCCCTCGAGTTATGAAAAAATCACGACGGGAGGTTTCTCATTATTTTTTGCTTCTGCGGGCCCTTACCGGCCCTCGGGACCGTCAAAAAACGACTCAGAACAAAAAAAACAGTCCCGGGGAATGGGTCCAGACCGCTGGGGGTCGACGTCATGAAAAAATCATGACGTCGGGGGTCTGGGGTTCTGATTAAGCCAGCCATTTGGACATACATGCTCATGAAACCTTGCGTAAACAATACGCAGAGGGGCGTGCGGACGACTCCCCGGCCATCTTCGGGGGAGAGTTATGCGTAGTATTCAGATTGAGTAATTGTGGAAAGGGAGGAGTGATGAGGAACGGGGAACGCGGAAAAACAGGGGGCGAGGTGGTAGATGAGGACGAGGGAATCGTCACGCCCAGGAGCCTGCTTACTGTACAGGGGCGCCGGGTATTGTCGCAGCCCGTGCGGCGAGTAGCTTGGGATCACCACATGCCTTCCACCGCAGCAGCGGAAGTCGATCAAAAGGCGACATCATCGTCACGATCCTGATGTAATCCTCCGCATCCGCGTCCTCCTCGTCCTCCCTCCTCATCTTTTGTCTTCTCCGCCCCCTCCTGCTCCCAAGTCCTTGTCCCCCCCACTCCGCCTCCTCATCCTCCTCCTTCCATATCAATCCCCCTCCCTCGCCCCTCTTTTTGCCCCATCCCACTCCTCCTCTGCCTCCTCTTGAAGGTGGCCAGAAGTAGGAGGTCGTGCCCTCTCCTGCTCGAATGTCGCCGGCCAAGGGCAGGCTCCCACATGAGCAAAGGGCGTGGTAAGCTCGAGCACTTGGCAGGGCCGCCGCCAGGAGGGGCATGATGGAGGGGGGGGCACCGCTTCGCCGTTGCCATGACAGAAAAACATGTGCGTTGTTGTCCAAGCTTACCAGCTGCTCAGGTCTGCTCTCTAGCGCTCTCGCCGGAGTTTCTTATAGGCGTTTTACGCGCAGATTGTATCGCTACCCTGGTTTTGCACCGCACAAGTGGACTCCACAAGTCCCAGATAGCTCCTTGGAGAGCTAAGAGGGGGCCAGAATCGGCGGCTGGGACGGGAGGAGCCAGGGACGGACCAAGGGGGGGAGCCGCGGGGATCCGGCGCCGGGCCCCAGAGCGGATCCAGGATGGCCAGGCCCGCGGCGCGGCTGGCTGCCTGGAGGCGGGTCTGGACGGACCGCTCAGGGCAGACTCCCAGAGTGATCCTCCTCCCTCCTCGCTCCTCCTCCCCCTCCTCGCTCCTCCCCCTTGTCCTCCTTGCTCCTCCTCCTCCTCCTCCTCCTCCTCCTCGGACTCCTCGGCCTCCTCGTCCTCCTCCTCCTCCTCCCTCCTCCTCCTCCTCCTCCTTCCTCCTCCTCTCGCCTCCTCCTCTCTCGTCCTCCTCCGCTCCCTCGTAGTCCTCCTCCTCCTCCTCCTCCTCCTCCTCCTCCTCCTCCTCCTCCTCCTCCTCTTCCTCCTTCTCCTTCCCCTCTTCTTCCTCCCCCTCCTCATCCTCCTCCTCGTCCTCCTCTTTCTCCTCCTCCTCCTGCTCGTCCTTCTGCTCGTCCCTCTCTTCTTCCTCCTCCTCCTCCTCCTCCTGCTCCTGCTCCTCCTCCTCCTCCTCCTCCTCCTCCTCCTTCTCGTCCTCCTCCTCCTCGTCCTCCTCCTCCTCCTCGCTCCTCGCTCCGTTTCCACTGTGGCTCAAGATGCCAATTTCCATAGGGTAGCAAGTGGATACCTCTCATCCGAGGCTTGCTTTCGTGTCTCTTCTGGTCCGCCCCACGTGTGGATCTCTCCACCAGTGCGCAGAGCCCTCGCGGCGTGGCGCCAGGTGGACGCCATGGCGGCGGGGCGTGGGGCTGGGCGGCTGACCGCCGGCAGGAGTGGGCGTGCGGCCGATGCGGCTGCGGCAACCGCTGGCGTCGCTCGTCTTGCGTCCGCTGTGGCGCGGGCTGGCGCTGCGGGGGCGGCGACGGGTGGCCACCGCTCTCCAGCTGCGGGGGCCAGCGAGGCCCCGAGGCTGCATGGTCGCACGGTCCGCCGCTCTCCCGCTGGAGCGGCCTGGCGTGCGGCGTCGCCGCCGGCAGGCAACGGGGCGTCGGGGGCCGGTCCTTCGCGGCGTGCCCCTGGCGTTGGCGGAGGCAGAGGCGGCGGAGACGGCAAGGGCGGCAAGGGCAACGCCGAGTCGCCCGCGCCATCCGCGGCTGCGGCGCACTTCGCGCAGCCGCGCGCCACCCATCTTTCGCTCGCCGAGCACTTCGCGCAGGTGGAGGCGCTGTCGGTTGCGCCGCCTCCTGCGGCAAAGGCGGCCGGTGAGATGTCGCGGGCAGTCTTCGGCCAGGCGGCGGCGGCGGCGCGTCGGACGATTCGGGCATCGCAAGCAGGCGCTGGCGAACGTCAAGAAACAGGTCGCGGCGGCCGACCGAGGTGGCCTATCGCGCGGCCCAGGAGCTCGCGGAGCTGGAGCAGCGCGGGCTCGCCCTCACTCGGCAGGTCCGCGAGGAGGCTGGTGCCGGCGGCAGTGCGGGCGGGGTCAAAGCCCCCCGCCCACCGTGCGGGGCCCCGTCCCTGTTCGCGACGCGCATGGCGAAGGCGTGGGTCGGGGAGGAAGCGCTGGGCACTTAGAAGCTGCTCCCGGATCTCGACGAGCTCGAGGAGGGCGAGCAGCGTCGAATCACCACGGACATCTTGGGGCGGCTCTTATGGTTTGCTGACCTGCCAGTTCGTCACCGTGAGATCGATCCTCGTTCTGCGCCGTTCGCTTGTTCATGCCGCTCTCCAGCTTGGGTCCAGCCATCGGGACTTGAAGTCATAGAGAGTTCCTCCTCCTCCTCCTCCTCCTCCTCCTCCTCCTCCTCCTCTCCTCCTCCTCGTCCTCCTCCTCCTCCTCCTCCTCCTCCTCCTCCTCCTCCTCTTATTCGGTATTATAAAGCGCTTAGTCCTGTTTCTTCTGCTCGAGCATCTGGTCGAAATTGGTCCTCGAATATCCTGAAGAGAAAAACCAGGTGACGGAGGTGTGTATGCGGCGCCTTCCTATCCTGCTCACCCGCCTCCCCCCAGCACCCTGGAAGGAGGGTGTTCGTCCCATTCCCCCACCGCTCGCACGTGACATGAGCTGGCACAAGCGACGAGACCTATAGTGGTGCAGCGGCCGATGCGGATGCGGAGAGAACTACAGCGACGACGAGGCGTCCGCCGAAGGTTGCCCTCAGCTGCAGCCCCGAAGGCGCGCTGCGCCGACCTGGGGCAACAGCCTGAGTTCTCGCGGCGGCCCGCACGCTGCCCGAAGGGAAGTACATCGGGTTCCCCCCCTCCTCCCCCTGGTCCCTGTCCTCCTTGTCCTCCTCCCTGCTTCCCCTGCATCCTCCCCTGCCTCGCCCCCCCTCCTCCATCCCCTCCTCCTGGAAAGCCTCGACCACTGACGGCCGATTCTTCCCGTAAGAGCGACCTGAGATCCGACGTCGCTCCATCAATACAGCATCTTGGAGAACCTCGAGCGTCCTGGGTTTCTGCAAGTAGCTCTCGAGCCGGAGCCACCCGCGAGGGTCCTGGGGCCCGAGCCAGTGCAAAAGCGCCAGCCGTAAAACAAGTTACAGCACCACTCCTCTTCCTCCTCCTCCTCCTCCTCCTCCTCCTCCTCCCCCTCCTCCTCCTCTTCCTCCTCCTCCTCCTCTTTCTCCTCCTCCTCCTCCTCTTTCTTTCTCCTCCTCCTCCTCCTCCTCCTCCTCCTCCTCCTCCTCCTCCTCCTCCTCCTCCTCCTCCTCCTCCTCCCCCCTCCTCCCCCGTTCGCTCGACCCTGGCACGCGGTGGTCTCTCGCGCCCTCGAGCCTTGCAGTGGGCCAAGGCGGGGGCCTCCTCCAGGCCTGCGTTGGACGCGGAGGGGTCGGACCGCGCGGTTTGAGCCCCCTTTGTCGTCCTCGAGGCCCGCTGGCATTGACGATTGGCCTGCTGGAAATGAGAAAATGGCAGGGGATCACAAACATGGATCAAGGGGGCGTGGATCAGCGACGGGTCCCGTTTCCATGGGAAAGCGCGGATTTCCGCCGCCGAGCGAGGCGGCAGCGGCCGCCTTTTGGGGAGGGCATCTCCCTGGATCCATGGATTTGGCGACCGCGCGCCCCCGAAAATGGACCCCCCTCCTCCCCCCCGTTGGGCAGCAACTAAACTCGGCCAGGAAAAACTCGGACAAGCCGAACTCGGCCAGCTGAGCTCGGCCAGGCTGAAGCTGGGACAGGCTGAACTCGGCCAGGCTGAACACGGCCAAGGCCGAGTTCAGCTTGACCAAGACCAGCCTGACTGAGCTCAGCTGGCCGGCTTTCAGCCTGGCCGAGTTTTATCTGGCCGAACCGTTCCATGTCCGCTGCCTCCCCGGGCCTCCCTCCAAAGCGCACCGCCAGGAGGATTCCCCCCGCTGGGCCGGTACGTCAACGTCGGGGCGGCCGATGGCCGGACGGACGACCCCCTCCCGCGGGGGAGGTCGGCCCGGAGGGCGTCGGGTCGTGGGGCCGGCGGCATTGGCAGGAGCAGGAGCAGCAGTAGTAGCCGGAGCAGCCGCGGGGTCATCAGGAGGGGGAAAAGATGCCAGTAGCGCTGCTCGTCCTAGAGTGCCCTGTCCTCGCAGCAACGGCTGGATTCTCTTTACATGTTTTTGGTCAAAGCGCATCTTGGGAGGTGTCCGTGAAATAGCGGTATGGATGCCCCTTTGTTACTTCGGAGCAAGAGCAGCAGGAGCAGGAGGCCACCACCTCCAGGAGCTTGCCGCGATTCCTCGCGGACTCCAGTTTTCCATTGTTTTTGTGAGATCTCTCTTTCTCTCTCTCTCTCTCTCGCTCTCTCTCTCTCTCGAGAGAGAGAGAGAGAGAGCCACCCCAAAGTGGGGAGTGAAAATCAACTTGCGTCGAGCTTCACTCCCTCTTCGGTTTTTGTCCTCCTTCTCCTTCTGTTGCTTCTCCTCCTTCTGTTGCTCCTCCCTGTCGCACCCCCAGACGTGTTGGTAGGGCGGGCCGGGCGCTTCGCTTGAGGCGTATGTGTGATCTTGCAGTTTGAAATTCGCAACAGGTTCCAGGGATGAAGGGCGGATGGTGTCCAAAATGTGGCTCTCGCCTTGGCGCCTCGCACATTCACTCTCAACATTTGCAATAATTTCAAACATTGAGGGCGGGCCGTTTTCAAAATGTGGTCGTCGCTTTCGCGCCACGCACATTCGTTTTGAGCAGTTACAGGAGTTTCAGGGACGGAAGTTCGTTTTCAAAATGTGGCTATCGCTGAGCGCCGCGCACATTCTTTGGTACACTAACTTAGTTTCAAGGGCTCGTGCGGTGGAAGTCCCAGGATTGGTGGTTTGGTACGATTTAGGGTGGTCCGGACGCAACAGTCATACTTGATGTGCGGTGCCGAAGTCCCAGGAACGGTCTTCTGGCACGGTTTCGGATTGTCAGGACTCGACAGTCACGTTGCTTCGCGGCGTTGACCCACGAACGGTGTTCTGGCACGGTCTGCTTCTGGCAGGACGCAGCAGTCACGTCGATTCGCGGCGTTGGAGCCCCAGGAATTCCCCGGAGCCCACGATGGGCTCGAAAGGCCGGTCCCCAGGCCTCCGACGACGTGGCCCCTGGGAGCGCTCGAGCCCATCTTCGGGACTAGCTTTGTGTGATCTCCCCGCGGCCTTTCTCTGATCACCCAGGGCCCGAATTCTGACCGCAGCGGCTCAAAATAAGGAGAAGGCAAGTTGACAGCAG